TTCTTTCATCAGCGTAGTTCCTCGCACAGAAGCCGGCAGCTCATCGAATGAATCCTAATCAAGTCTGCGTTCAAAGATCAAAAGGCGGCTCTATGCGGGCTTTGTGTCATCCTCACCACTCCTTTCTTCAGAAAACATCAGGAAACTTTCAGCACAAAGTGCCGAAACTATCTGAACTTCACGCTTTTCGTTTACAATCAACACCCGCGCTGGCGCGATCGCAAAGACAGTAGGCGAAGTGAAATGAATCGATTGCGCCCGACATTCAAGCGTTACAAACAAGGCACAACGAGTGTGGGGATACATGGCGAAACGTGGTAGGAGAGACTTCCCAACGGATATTCTTTGTATGTGCAGCAAACAGCTTCTACCCTAATGAAGTCACGTGAACCACTCTGCTGGCGTCACCAAGTGCGTTTAAAAAGAAGAAGCGCCAGCAGAGAATAATACATTCGCTCATTGAGTGTTCAGAGATCCTTTAGGAGCCCTTTAAGAAACAAATAAAGCAACAATTATTTGATATGGGGGGTTTAACGTCTTTAAACTACCATATGTATATGAGAGACGCCGTAGTGGAGGGCTCCGGAAATTTCAACCACCTGGGGTTTATTAAAGTGCACCTAAATCTGATCACACGGGCCTACAGCATTTTCGGCTCCATCGAAAATGCAGCCACCCCAGCCGCGATTCCATCCCGCGACCTGCGGGTCAGCAGCCGAGTACCTTAGCCACTGGACCAACGGGGCGGGGAAAAGAAAGCAACAAAGAAAGCAACACACAGAGAAAGAAATAAACAGGAAAATTTATTTCGGAGTTATATATACAAGTATGAACTTCTCTAATTGTCCTCTCTATTGTTTTTATGCTTGTTAAGCCGTTAAACTGTGAGAATACGAGGTACGAAATGGTCATCATCTGAATTTCCATCACACGAATAGACATTGTAACGAATGCAGAAAAAAAAGGGGGGATACAAAGAAAACTTCACTACATGCAGGTGTAACCCGTAATAAGAACCAGCTGTATTTCGCACGGGATCATCTCGTTAGAGATGAACACTACAATATTGGCATTACATACCGACATTATTCAACGTTAGCGTACACCCTTACCAAAAATTCAACAAACTCTTGCCATCAATTAGATATATTTAGCCTTAAATGGCCCCAGTGGCGTAGCCAGGGTGTTTCACACGCCCCCCCCCCCCCCCCTTTTTCCAATTTTTTTTTTCTCGCCATGGTATGCATAGCGAAAAATGACAGTTTACCTTCCCAGCCGTCCCACGTCCCCTTCATATAAAGAAGGTGCCACCCCCCCCCCCCCCGAAAAAAAATTGCTGCCTACAACCCTGACTAGCCATTGTTTAGATGGAATTGCTTATTAGTATGCCAATGCTAGCCAACATCAGGAAGCAGTAACACTCAGAGGTAGTATCGGCGAGTAAATACCATAGGCTTCGATCCACAGTGCTGGCCGTTCTGTCTATTGCTTACCGCTCACAAATCGCGAGTGGTCACGTTAAGTAAGACACGTTGTAGCACTTAAATTCTACGTAGGCGTGTTTTCATGTCCCAGCTTCGTGCTGCATATGTGATAAAAAGGTATTTCTCCCCGAAAATAACCGATTAGTATACAGCATTTTGCACGCACGAACAGATCTTCAGAGTATTTCACGACATTACAAAAAAAAAAAAAACAGGGGCCGATGAAGCCGTGGCACAGATTAATTACAGAGGGGCGATCTGCCGTGTCATTCCACTCGGCCGTGCACCTATTTCTTCCACGTGTCTCCGAGGGTCATCAACTTTCAGCCTCCAACGAGGGCGCGCTCCTCTCTCTCCACTAGGACACCACGCCTCATATGCGAGTAGCAGCAATGCGAGTAAGAAAACCGCGACAAACGAAACCACTTTTACTGCGCGTGTTTTCCTGTCGCTGTAAGGCGGATTCCTCGCACGTCTCGCAAATCTTTCATCAGCCGCTCCATGCCCGTGCAGCCGGAAAAACCGCAAGGACGAAGGCCAGCTGGGGCCAATTGCGAAAGAGCCAGGGATGCTCTTATCAAGCTAGTGAACAGAAAAAAAAGAGAATGCCAGCCGGCCCTTGAGCTCCTGTATTTCGTAATAGTAATATTACCACCAGTTCGTAATAGTAACAATACCACCAGTTTTACGCGGCGAAAACCCGGTATATGGTTATGACTTACCGTAGTGAAGTGCTTCGGAAATGTGGACAATATGCGACCGCCTAACGTGTGCCTCTAGACCGAAATTTGTGGTGTTCGTAAAGAGCCAGCCGCTATTAATCGCAACAAAATATGTTTTCAACCGCCATTACTCTCCACAAAACAAAAATAAAAAAAACAAATCAAGCAGAGCCAGTTTAAGCAGTTCTCAGTGCATACGAGATAATCATTGGGGCTGGTCAGAATAATGCCAATGTCACCGTTATAACAACGTATTGCGCCCCGCCGCGGTGGTCTAGAGGCTAAGGTACTCGGCTGCTGACCCGCAGGTCGCGGGTTCAAATCCCGGCTGCGGCGGCTGCATTTCCGATGGAGGCGGAAATGTCGTAGGCCCGTGTGCTCAGATTTGGGTGCACGTTAAAGAACCCCAGGTGGTCAAAATTTCCGGAGCCCTCCACTACGGCGTCCCTCATAATCATATGGTGGTTTTGGGACGTTGAACCCCACAAATCAATCAATAACAACGTATTGCCTACATTATCCAACAGTAGCCCAGCACAATTAAGCCAAATTATATCGAAGTTATCCATAATGTTGCCAACATGTGTTATTTTGAGCTAGCTGTAGCTGAGATAGCTTGTCACTTGGCCAACGTTTTCAAACACCAGCGACGGCTAACAAACGCTAGTAGTCGTAATACGCGGGTACATATGATAACGAGAACACCACCGCACATTTCCAAGCCGCAAGTGATGAGAGTGGGTAGGTGGATGGAGGGAGGGGGGGGAGGCTCAACACATTTCCATGGCAACAGTGAGACCTTGGCTTCATTCCTAAATTGGAGTGACGGTCTTCTGTCAGACGCACCCTAACTATAGGATTCCATGTATCCGCACGTTTCCCCAATTATATTAAAAATAAGAAGTTTAGATTCGTTCTCACGCCTATTTCCGAGACAGTCAAAAACGTTCCAAGAAAATCTTTTAACTTTTCGCCCCAAGGGTGATAATCCCAAGCGTAGTACAACATCTGAGGTGCTTTCACTTCGGCTGGATTTCACGGCGTCACAGGCACGCTGGTCGACCTCCGATGTAGTTTCTGAGCCTTTGTCTTAGCGCGGCTGTCACAGTAACAGATCCATCTAGCCCATACAAAGGCCGAACGCGTGCGATAATAACCTCGAGTAAATCTCGCGAACGCTAAAGCATCTCCGGGATTGATCACATAAGAATACAACCTCACGACTGCGTATGCGCTTAGTACACCTTAGCCGCCAACGTACCAGTTCATGTGCCGCTAAAGCTTAGACACGGCGCTCAAAAAAAAAAAAAAAAGGAGGGGGGGGGGGGTAATTCTTTTCGCCGCACGCAGTAGCCTTCCCATTCAGTTGGTGTCTGAACAGAAAACTTGCGCTGAACTCCCATAACCTCTATTAGTCTCAGATAGCAATCGAGTCTCGACCCGTTGCGGGCCTTCCCGAGAAATTAGAAGGTGTTTCCCTCAAGTCAGTACTTCAAGGGTAATTAATTCTGACAGTGGCGAGTTGGTATACCTGTTGAGAGTGTGGAGCGATTGCCCGAGGTACCTTAAGTGCATTTTTCAATGCAGTGTGGGCGTGGAATGAAATTTATCTCAGAATTATCGCAGCAATGTCGAAACGCATTAAAAGTTGTGTCTGCAGCAGTAACAGTGACAGTTATATAAAAAAGGCCGCCAAAGAGCAGGTTCGCATTCTATTTGCAAACTTGTAAACTTTTATTCAAAACTTTCCAAAGCCGCGCCAGCGACTATACCAACTAGGCGTAAAGAACTCAACAAATAATGACATTTAATGCTGTGCTTCTGGAATTTGAACACATAATTTTGAGCGTATTACTTATAGTCATGTATGAATATTTTTTTTTGCTGCATTCACTGCAGAAGTCCCGTAACTAAGAAGAATGCCCTAGGAGCCCTCCCCTTCCCCCTCCCCCAATTTACGGAAGGAGGGAGGTAACGATGACAAATATTAAAACCAGGTGTTTTTCAAAACTCCAACAATGTTTTTCTTCCACCCTTCCTTCCCCCCTCCCGACTGAAAAAAATTACAGGCTACGGAGCTGCAGTACAACCTAATTGAATGTCAACTTAATAAGCCAGTTCTATTAAAAAGGGCTCTTGTGGGTGATTTCAGATCTAAAAAAAAGTAAAGCTCTCGTACACATGTTAACTTCTATGCCACTCTCAAAAACCCATCTTCAGGGTTAGCTTAACAAATACTTCAAGTTTTTCCTTTGTATGTTTGATGCTCACGCAACTCTTATTTTTTCTGCGTAAACATTGCTCATTGCTTAATTGAAAGTAAAGATTAATTCATTCGTTCATTCATTTTGTTTCAGCAACGCTAGGAGAAATTGCCGATGTACGTAAAATAATAATAAAAACCTTATAAAATGCCTAGACTTGGATACAACAGCATTCAGGCACATATCACGGAGCTTTTCGTTTAAACAATTACCCCTCACTCGTGATCATTAAGTCGTATCAAACTAGCCTCTAACACCGGAAAATTCTGGTTTGTAGAACTTGTGCTTTAAAATTTTTTTTTCAGTCATCGAGGAAAACTAGAAAAACTTGATTCGGCTCATGCGCGAAAATTTGCAATAGCGACGTTCCTGGTTAAACCAAATATGCGGAGAATTCAGTTGACATAAAATATTACCGCTAGCAATGGTGAAAATCAACCGGTAGCGAAGAAAACTTGCAAATGTTTTCAGACCGGGACATGCGAGCACGCCGAAAAAAAAAATGAAGAAACAAAATCAAGATCGCTTACCTTGGAAGTAAGGTATGAGCTTGCACATGACTGGGCCAAGCACAAAATTCCTGAGAACGCTGCCGACCAGCGTGGTGGGCATGCAGAATACTCCCAGCAACAAGTCACTGACTGCCAGGTTGAGCAAGAACACGTTGGTCACGGTCCTCATGCGCCGACGCTGGACGAGTGTGATGATGACCAGCGAGTTTCCCACAACGGCGAACACGAATATGATGGCGTACAACAGAATCCTGAAGGCCGTCTCGAAGCTGATGCCTGTCCAACAGGCCGCCGCGGCTGAGGCCAGGGCTTCGGCAGCGGCCGTCTCGTTGGACAGCGCGTCGCCGCTGGCGTTTGTAGACTCCGCACCGCGACACATGTCCACAGTGGCCGTCAGCTTGGGTCAACTCAGTGCCGACGTGGGCACACTAACGACAAGTACGACGTTTTCATACTGGTGTTTTGGCACGCGCTGGCGCACCAAGGTGGCCGAGCGCAAGGAGACGCCGTCGCGTCGGGACGCTCAAACACTACCACGCGCCGCTACTTCTGAAGAGAACACGCGCACGCTCCGGAACGCGCGCCAAATCCAATCGACAACGCGCGAACTACGACGAGCGCGCGACGTGCTTGTATGCTGGCGCCACCTAGGCGGACCTTGACGTAAGAGAACGCTGGCGCTGCGAAGCAAAAGGAGAGGCGCATTGGCCAGCGCACTGCCCCGAGGCACGGACGCATTGGCAGCACGTGCCCTCGTGGTGTAAAAGCGAACATTTGGCGCCGTTCCTCGCCGTTGCAGCAGCCTCGCGAAGCGCCGTGAAGAAATCAAAAGTACTTCGATCACCCGTCTCGGTGGCACGATAGCTACGCGCGATGCATAAATTTACGCGAAGCACCTTTGCTTGGTTTCGCCTGCATCTACGTGCGATTCTTGCGGTGGTGTCATGATCGGCGGTGTGGCGAGCACGTGGACGCGTCCAGCTTCCCTGTAGAACAAGTCTCCTGAGGTTGTACATAGGACGAGGGTTACTTACTGTTGTAGCGCAATACATGAATGCGTGAAGCAGCTCCACGCGGATGAGTATCACTCGATAGCCAAAGCAAACAAATTGTAAGGAAATAAAATTAATAGTGAGAAAAGCCTTCAGTGACAGATATTGATCGATTATTGACATGTACACAAATTGAAGGTACAACCAACTGTTAACTCGGCCGCGTATCTGATGAAGAGAACCTGACTACATGCATCAAAGAAATTCAGCTTACTCACAAAAAAAAAACTTTACTAGGGTGATAATAGCAGTTAGAGGTGAAAGCGTTTTCACAATAGTATCAAAGTCCCGTTAACCGCGTGAAGTATGATATGCATGTGCACTCTCCCTAGCATTTTAAAACTAGTATAAGAACATAATATATTGAATCACCTGGCAGGAACTTTCTGGACTCTGGGTGCCGACTGTATTGTGATCTACATTTTGCGTATCGAACAACGAACGGCAAACGTTCATTTTGACTGGCACCTTGCTTTATTGAGGGGTGATGCGCTTGAAAGAGAAACTTGCGAACTATAAGACTTCTCGTTATAACTTTGGCTGACGGGTAAAAGAACGTATGTTTTACACTTGTAACGGATACTAGGCGTCGATATATCTTTCCGGCAATGGTTGCAAAATACAAATGTTATCATTTCTAACGTTGGCTAGCGTTATAACGTTGGCTGATGGGTAGAGGAACGTATGTTCTACTCTTGTAACGGATACTAGGCGTCGATATATCTTTCCGGGAATTGTTGCAAAATACAAATGTTATCATTTCTAAAGATGTGTTGATAGATTATGTTTATGCTTCATGTGAAACGCCCAAAGAAGGCGTTAAGCATGAACCTGACCACAGGAAATCGATAGCGGCCTCCATTCAAACCTGAGTGATAGTGAAGCAAGGAACTGGTAGCGCCCCTATATTGCGACATTACAAGAAATCAAGCAGTGCGGACGAGAACATGAAGTAAAAAAAAAAGATCATTTTTTCACCATTCCCTACATCTGCTATGCCTACATTTTATTAAATGTACACTAAAGTCAAATAACAATTTATTTTAGAGTGAAAGCTCAGTGTATGGCAACGTATAAAACGACATTATCTACAGCATTACCCTGCTTACGGAGAAATTAATGTAAATGCTCGAGAACACATGCGCCACGGGGCACAAGGACAGAGCACAAGGACATTCGCAAAATGATCCCAATGATGTGTCAAAATCACCAACTACAACTAATCACCAGTAATCGAACTAGCTGCACTAAGCAAACATCTTTCCGTGCATCAAGAGACGTAATAAATGCTACCTGTTCGTTTTTGTTTGATTAATAGAAAAAAGAACCACTGGACGTTACTATGGTGAATGGCGCAAATGGTTTAGAAGTTCAATTTTCGCCTGGTTAAACTGAATAGCTCGTGCCCTTCACCGTGGCCCAGTTGAATCAAGCGCGCCTGCCATCTCGGAGGCCATGATAGGAAATTGTTGAATGGTTGTTGTTGCTGCTGTTGGTCCCGCTGCTTTCGTTCTGCTGCTACTAGTGTCGGTGGCCACGCAGTGAAGCTGGGCAACGTTGCTGACGGCAACAGTGACGTGAAAGGGTCCACTCGAGGCGGGTATTTTCAAGTGTGCTTAAGCGATGCGGACACCTAAAACATGATTTTATTTTAAAATAAGCACTGCCTTGGCACAGAAGTTGCAATACGAGGCTCCTGGACCACAATTTCAGCAATAAAGATTATTTGCCTTTAGTTTCCCTTTTAAAAATGTGCCAATGTTACACTATTTGGCTGTTGTAATTTCTATAGACTTGAATGTTCATGTCATGACTCATCTCATTTCATTCCAGAAAGAGTGGGTATGTGCCACAGGGGATGTGAGATCACGGTACTAGCAGACAGATGGACGCACGGATGGTCGCACGGACGGGCTGACGGACGCTTCGTTCACTCATCACTATCAATCCGTGTATGTGTTGTGATTTTTTGCTAGTTATTTGATAATAAAACATTTTGCCTAAAAAATCGACGAATGTACCGCGCGTGCTATTCGTGCGAAAACTTTATAGGAGCTGTGCTGCTGTATATAGCGGGTTGCGCTGCAAGCGCCCCGGCATAGGTGATGGCCTGCAGTCCTTGGACACGTTAGGCGGAAACAGGGCACAAGTCGCTATAAAAAAAGAAAATGTAGTGATCCATTATATACGCCGTGTTAAGTCATGGAAAGTTTGGTGTGAGAACGTGAAGGCTAACTTCGCATGAATTTGTTTCAAAAGCATTGCTCACTGCTGTCTTCAGGTGTTTTTCTTTTTTTGTGTGTGTGGTTCGCATTCTTCGGTAAGAGTGTGCTTCATATCGGAAAGCTGAAAAAAAAAGGGGCTTTGTAGAAGTACAGCTTTCCTCGTCGCCATATCATCAAGTTTTTCTGCCTAGAAACTTCAACGGATACCGCTAATAGCGTAATACTGCGAAAAAGACAGATTGGCTGAGTTGGTGATTCGTGATGTATGAATGACGAGTGCGTAGCTTAAACGTGGACTTGGTAAAACAAAGACGACACGCTCATTTTTGTCTTCTGAAGCCCCTACAGACAGGTACTTCAAAAATACTGCAAGACTGTCTGCCTTAGATGTCTTAAAAGATTTTCACTAACTGAACATTTTCTTCGCCGATGCTGTTTCACCAAAACTACTGGCGTCTTCTAAAATAAAAGAACGGAATCATTGGTTACATCCAATGGCTAAAGGGAATGCAATTCTAAAGAAAATACGATTTTGAATGGAAATTTACTCAGGAAAAATTACATATTGGCAGCTATTTTCCTCTTTTTATGCTGCAGGTAGTAAAATTTTATGTTACATTGAGCCGAAAATATTTTGCGCACCTTCGGCAAACGTCTTGTCTAGTACATTTTTAAGATACCACAAAAATATTCAAGTGACGGAATTCACTGGATTCACTGAGAACACAGGGGACAGGACAAGTGCTCGTCCTATATGCACTTTGTTATATGAACCGTAATAACTTGAGCCCTGCAAAGAGGTACTACATCTAGTGCTGAATGTGGTTTCACAATAACTTTGTGAATCACGTTCTGCGCCAACCACGTCGATATCTGCGGCAGACAATCTCACAGTTGCTGCACTGCAAGCGTCGCACCACTGAAATTATTTCTCGACATGCCGGCTTTATTTTCGACCTAAGTATGCGCCATCAGATCTTGTGACGCAAGTATATGCATTTTTTAACGACGCCCTGCGACAACCACGTTAATATATGCAGCAGACAACGTTCGACTCGCATCGCTAATGTATCCACACGCACAGGCTTGTTATGAAAGCTTATTATGAATGTTTATTATGCGCAGGATTATGATGAAGATTAGGAAGCCTTCATGTGCGCGCCGGCTCTGCCCGCGCGTTAAGGCTCCCTAATCTCAATAATAAGCAAGTGCGCGAGCTGCACAGGCATGACTGACCTGAAACATTTTGCTTGTGAGGCAGTCCGAGTGGTCATCATGTGTTTAAGCCTAACCCTGAAGCAAAAAACAGTATTTCAGAATCGGTAGCCAGATTTTCCTTGTTTTAGATATCGGTGTAGACATGTTGTTGGATGTAATCAAGCCCACATTAACAAGTAACCCGTATTTGAGATATGGACAAGTTTTTTTGTATGTTATGGTGTGCTGGCAATGTGTAAAAACTAACTCCTCACCTACCACCCCCACACTCTCTCTTTTTTCCTTGACCCGATAAAATAAGCTGGAGAACCCCGTATTAGAGGCTTCATTGTATGTGTGCTCCAAAATAACTGTACATGAGGTAGTGCATAAATGATGCCCATTCGTCATTATAACAAGTAATTTGAAAGTATATTTTTTTATTTCTAGAGTAATGATAATGTATTATTATTACTCTCGGCCAGCTATAACTTGTTATTTCATTTCATTTTAGAACGTGCTAGGAATGGTAGAAACGACCAGCTGTAATTCGCCGTTTAACTGCATTTTAGAAAGTTATACAACAGGTACTAGATATTTTATGTATGATGCTTGAGAGTCTTATGCACCATGACCCGACGATCTACAATAGAACGTGACAAGTCTTGCGTCCACCACTATCGAATGCAGCAGTCAAGTTTAAGCTAACGTGTATCTTCTTTTTTAGTTTGCTTTTTTTCTATCTCTATCTTTTCATCCATTAATCCCCTTGTCCCGATTTATGATAGCGAACTGGACGCTGGTCTGGTTGACCTTCCTGCTTTACCTTCCTCTTCCTCCTCCTCCTTGAAAAGTAATGAGTATTGCAATTTAATCATTTTTCAAAAGTAATTTTGCGGTCTCCAGTAAACAGGCTATCTTGAGCACAGGTCTTAAGCAGGAATGAGCTCAATATATACGCATCTTTCACCGTCCACTACCGTTAACATCTGATCTGGAACTCGCAGTCATACAAGCCATCTGGAGCAAATCACTAGCTTCCCACGCGCGTCTCAGGGGCACTGCACTCCCACCTGCTTAAAGCGGTCTCGCCTGTAAACTTCTCTCTGCAAGAAACCGTCGTCAA